AAGGATCTGGGGGAGTTGAGATACTTCCTTGGCATAGAAGTTGCTAGATCCAAGGATGAGATTCTTATCTCCCAAAGGAAGTATGTCCTTGACTTGCTCTCTGAAACTGGGAAGATGGGTGCTAGACTAGCTGCAACTCCTATTGATATGAGTCACAAACTTTCTGCTTCAGATGGAACATTGTTGGAAGAGGTCTTTCAGAGACTTCTTGGGAAGCTCCTGTACCTGTGCATGACTCGGCCAGATATTGCATATGTTGTCAGTTGTATTAGCCAGTTCATGCATGCTCCTCGAGATACTCATATGGCAACTACAGAACGAATTTTGTGTTATTTGAAAGGCTTTCTAGGAAAAGGGATTATGTTTACCAAGCATGGACATCTGAAACTTGAAGCCTATACTAATGCTGACTGGGCTGGAAATATTGATGACAGAAGATCTACTTTAGGTTATTGTAGTCTGGTGGCTGGTAATGTTGTTTCTTGGAGGAGCAAGAAACAATCAGTTGTGGCCCGATCCTCAACAGAAGCAGAATATAGGGCCATGGCACATGGAGTCTCTGAACTGTTGTGGTTAAGGTCATTGATGGAAGAACTTGGGATTGATTATGACAAGCCAATGATGYTGTACTGTGATRATYAGGCTGCCATCAACATTGCCCACAACCCCGTACAACATGATAGAACTAAACATATTGAGGTTGATAGACACTTTATTCGAGAAAGAGTCTCTTCGGGTGAAGTGTGTCTTCCATTCATTACTTCTGAAGGACAATTGGAAGATTTTCTCACCAAGGGTATTCCCAAGGCATGGCTTCAACATGACACTAGCAAGCTGTGCATGATTAACATCTATGCTCAGCTTGAGGGGGAGTGTAGAGAAGATGGGCCGAATGGCCCATAGGCTGTTATTCTATGTTATATTTATGTTCTTCTCTGTAATGGGCCTTATTCTGGGCCCATACTCTTCTATGCTCTATTTTTGTAATTTCTTGTCCAACCAAGGGCCTCTCTTGTAACTACTCAAAGATTAACTTAATAAACGTGTATTAGAGTGTTAGAGGGAGGTTTAGTTTGAACCTCTCATCCTCTAACCCTCCTTGTTGCAGCTCTCTCTCTCTCTTAGCTTCTCTAATCTTCTCTTGTTTGTTTTTTCTAGTTTTCTTGCACAATCCCATACTTCTATGGTTGTTTTTCATCTGTACTGTTGCTATGATCCAGTTTCTGGGAGCCGGTATGTTACCATGGATGTCACCTTTTTTGAATCCACATATTTCTTCTCAAAGAATCCTTCTCAGGGGGAGTGTTTTGGGGAAGTGAGTTGAAAGCTGAAATGTTGTAGTCGAAGTAGTAAAGGAGAGAAGGAGACCAAGAGGTGCTAAGAATGTCAAACTGAATAACCCAGTCGA